CCTCGAAGCCAGTTCCATTGTGTTTTTTCTCTAATCAGGGACTGATTTAGACCTGGGATATCAGGTGGGTCCAATTAATTATCAGGTAGAACAGAAAACCTGCAGGCTCCGGACCTTATAGGGTAAGAATTGAATACCCCTGCTGTATAGGCTACTTTACTGTACATCCATTGTCCTATAAAGTCATTTAAAGCTGAAGAAATGTAAAATGGCCTCTGATGTCTGACTTTGAAATCTCTGGGGTTTGTAGTTGGGGAGGAGGGACATACAGTACATGCGCCATATTTCCCCATACGATTCATCCTTTGATGTTTGATTAGTGAAAGTACTTACATATACGAAGCCCCCCCCCTCCTTCTCGCTCACATAATTTTGTTTCTTGAATTCCGTCATATGGTCATCTTCAACTACATGTTGAAATACGGCATTCATCAAAGGGGAAGAGAAGGAATGGGCATGTAGCCAGCCGAGCCTCACTCGCCAGGCCAATGTACAGCTGGTGAATGAGAGAGAGAGAGAGAGAGAGAGAGAGAGAGAGAGAGAGAGAGAGAGAGAGAAAATGTAGAAAGCAAAGCAGTGTTTTTAATTATCTGGACTAGGTACAGGATGCTGTTTTTTGATTGTTTTAATGAAGCAGCTGGCCTATTGTCTCCCCTTAATTCCTCTATTGTTTTTAGAATATGTCATAGTTCTTTATTCTTTTATCAGGTGCTCTGCAGGAGGATTCAGCACAATAGCATTCATTCCAACTGCATTGGCCACTGCACAAAGCCAGGCAGGCAGCTCATTGCAGAGAGCTAGCTCGCTAACAGGCAAAACAGTGCAAATCACACAAGCTGCTACTTTTGAGCCTTTTCCCCCAGTTTTACTTGTGGACTGTGCACTTTCAAAAAAGGCAAAAAGTGGCCAGTATGATGCAGATAAACGTTTATGAACTATTCACAAGATGATTTGCCTTTGTTGCCCCTCTCTCTGTACAGCAAGCAGTGTTTCCCAATCCTTGTCCTAGGAACCCAAAGGGGTGCACATTTGTGTGTGTTAGTGCTGGCCTAGAACAAATCCTTTGGTTCTCCATCAAGACCAAGCATTGGAAGCAAAAACTGTGCTGTACAGTGATGCTCCGAGAGCAACATCTCAGTGGATCGCCAGTGGATCTCAGGGGATCTCCTGAGCTTCCATCTATGTGTATGTCCCAAATGCCACCCTATTCCCCATTTAGTGCACTACTTGTGACCACGGCACATAGCTCTGGTGAAAATAGTGCGCTATATTGGGAATAGAGTGTCATTTGGGACTAAGCCTCCCCCAGAGGTTGGTGGTTGCTGTTCTCCTCTGAGGCAGGAATGCTTCTGTCTGAGTCAGTATGCTGTGTTCTAGAATACCACCCCAGCAGGGGCGGTGTGTTCAATAGGGCGATATGGGCGACGCACTGCCAAACGGGAAAAGGAAGGGATTTTTTTTCTAATCAATTATATCACGGCAACAGTAGTTATCAGTGTTGTAATCTAGACGTCTGATCTGCCACAGTGCCACTAAATGTCCAATCAGGCTAAAGTCGTGCTTCAAATGCCCCCCCCCCTTTTGGGGCGATTTCAGTCAGGTTGAAAATCGCCCAGAAGTCTGTCATAGACTCCCATGTAAAATCTATTTTTTTCAAATATCAGAGCTTTCAATACAATCTCTATGGGTTTCTGAGGGCTTGCACTTACGCGCTTTCGTCATACGTAACATAACCATGAACGTAACTAAGAAAAGAGCGGGTAGCAGCGTCAATCAATTCACTAATACTATCAAAATGGCTAGGCTTCAGTGCAACTCGATTGTGTCTTTGAAAGAAGTTCATTTTTGTCGGCGAACAAATGAAGATAAATTGGCAACGAAACAATTAGGACCTCCCAGACCAAATTTAATAATTCAACAGGTTTCTACTAAAGGGGGGAAGTCCTACACCCGAGGATTTTCCAAAAATTGGTACGAACGAAAAACCTGGCTAGCAGGCTGCGATGTAGCTAATGCAGTCTTCTGCTACCCCCTGCTTACTCTTTCACCCTGAAGGCGGCACGGCAGACAGCACCGCTTGGACAGCGACTGGTGTGTAACGGACATGCACCATCTTTCAGGAAAGATTAAGAAACATGAGCTGTCAAAGACCCACATGGATAGCTGTTTGAGATTGTCTGCTTTGGGGAGAGTGAACATTCCCACTCAACTGGATGAGGGATACAGGCTAGCTGTCCGCCGCCACAACGATGAGGTTAGTGTTGATAATCACAAGTTTACTGGAGAACTGAAACTGACAAGGCTGACAAGATAGGACCCTTTTGTCCATTGTTATTGGATAGGAACAGAACTTATAACCAGCTCCTGACCTAAATAGATCTTAGCACAACATTTTACTCAACATATCATATTCCATATTCACTATAACAAATATATTTACTACGACATTAGCAAGAACCGCCACATCCTCAGCCGGCTAATCCAGTGTGTGAAGTTTTGCGGAGTGTTTGAGTTAGCTTTGCGAGGCAAAGATGAAACTGAGGGCTCCACCAACCCTGGTAAGCCAACACTTTTGAGATCAGTCAATAAATGCTTCTGGTATTGACTTATATGCTGCCCCTGTCTTCATGTTGTTGCTGGACATATCTTTTTTTAAATGTGTGTAGGTCACCTAAATCATCAGAAAAATTGCCCCCCCCTGAGAATTTTTTCAGGAGCCGCCACTGCACCCCAGCATTCTCACAGATGACAGATGGTGTCTGTAGTGTGGCTGGCTGAAGGAGTCACATTGCTATGCATATTTCATAGGTGAATTGCATTGTAGGCTATGAGTACTAACAGTCATGAGCAATTAGCAGTGGAAGGCTTGCAGTAATTCAGAGCACCTTTAACTGAAATTGTATTCAAAGACAGTGAAAATGTAGACAAGTAAGTCGTGAGTTCAGTATCAGAGTATTTCTTTCCATTCTCTTTGTTAACCGAGCACCTGTGAAGTGGAATCTCTACCGAGTTGAAACTTTTGGTGGCGAGTAGCGACGATCTGCCCCCCCACCTCCCCCTCCATTATGGCTGCTCGCTGGCAGTTAGTATCTACCTTGATGGTAACTCTGTCAGACGGCGGAGGAGTTTTGTTACTTTAATTAGGAGATAAAAATTCAAAGGGCCTCTCCAGGCTGTGTGTGGTGAGACAGAATCAAAACCAGCACTCAAGTGGAGGGACCTGAAGTGTGTCTCTCATCACGGGAGATTGGCCAGCAGATAGGCACTGTTCTTTAAAGGAGCTAGTGCTGCCTGCTGCCTGCCACTCACACACACACACGGATGCATACACACACACGGCTTTCCTTGCACACAGAAATGGGACTTTAAAAGACTGCGTATTTTACTACAGCTTGCTTCACTCCTCTGACACATTTGTAATAGTCTCCTGAGTGGCGCAGTGGTCTAAGGCACTGCATCGCAGTGCTAGCTGTGTCACTAGAGATCCTGGTTCGAATCCAGGCTCTGTCGTAGCCGGCCGCGACCGGGAGACCCATGGGGTGGTGCACAATTGGCCCAGGGTAGGGGAGGGAATGGCCGGCAGGGATGTAGCTCAGTTGGTAGAGCATGGCGTTTGCAACGCCAGGGTTGTGGGTTCGATTCCCACGGGGGGTATAAAAAATAATGTATGCACTAACTGTAAGTCGCTCTGGATAAGAGCGTCTGCTAAATGACTAAAATGTAAATGTAATAGTGTTTAATTTCCAGTGCTGTTTGACTTAAATGTAATGAAAAGGTTGGGAAATGTGTTAATGGGAGTAGCGAGGTTATGACCAGCGTCAGGTGGGAGGTGGAATGCCGTGGAAGGTGTACCAGACAGGAGTGACATATCCTCGGATTGGTGTGGAAGTTAGGTGTCATAACAATCAATCCATCATGTAATTTCATAGTAACTACAACAGTTATTCTTCAGCTTTCCTCCCTGGGTTGGGAGAGACTGGGTTGTTTTTAAGAGAAGAGAGCCTCACTTGAATACTCTGCCTACACTGACCTTTAAAACTAGTGATTTATACATTTTGTGTAAACATTTGTAATCAGTGTCTCTCTAAAGTGTGGAGGATGGATCTATGAGTGGGGTGCAGTTAGTCTTCTGTTCTACCCTTCATACCTCTCCCCTCTCTTCTGCAAGGTCCCTTATTTCCACAACAGCTGGACTCAAATTACAGGTCCTCTCTCATCCTGACGCTGCTCTGTCGGAGTGTTTGCACATCTTTGAAAGCTAACAGCGTGCCCTAATTAATTGTCCAGCTTTTCTCTGAAACAATGTCCTAATTCTGCCATTTAGCGTGAGCGTATCATCGTTTGTTTTTTATCGCCCCAGACAGATTTTTGTAAATAGTTATATTAAAAACTTTAATCTCTTCAAGGGAAAATTAAGTGCAGCTGAAAATCCTGTCATGTGCAGGAGATAAATATTATCTAAGCTAAAAAACCTTCCTCCCCTCCCTTCGTCTCTCTCTCTCCCATCCTAACTTAATGAATATGTTCAGAAGATTTTACCGGAGTGTTTCATCCCTAAACACAACAATCTAATAGTGTGTAGAGGACCCGTTTCAGGTTGATACTATATTACTGAAGTGTACAGTATAGCTCCAATGTGTAGACCTACTAGAATTTACCCCAATGGAGTATGACGTTTCTTACTGCTACTTTAACCAAAGTATGACATTGTAATTTGACACTTTAGTCATTATATTGTCATTATTATTAAGTCATTATAACATTTCCCTCTGGATGAAATTCCATACCCTCTGAACTCCAGAGTTTGGAGTCACCTATAGCCAAACCACTCAGGGTGAAACATCAATAATAATATTATATAATACTGTCCCCAGTGGGAATCGAACCAATGAACTAAGCCACACAGGCTAACACTACCATGCTCTACCAACGGAGTCTCACAGGATAAAAACAATTTTTCAGCATGCATTAATTCAATGTTCCCCTTCTGTCTGTTCCAGGTGGCCAGCTGTGGTGCACCACCACTAAAAACATCATGGAGGGCGAGGAGCTAGTGGCGTTCGCCGTGGACTTTGACTCCCGTCTACAGGCCATCAGCCACATGTCTCTGAGCGAGGGGATGTACCCGGCCAGACTGCTGGACACCATCCAGCTCCTGCCTCAGCAGGCTGCCATGGCCTCCATACTGCCCACTGCCATCGTCAACAGTGAGTGTGTTACAATATACTCCATGACTAGTCTGTACTGTAGTCTCACCTAGGGCTGCGTTTGAAATGGCACCCTATTCCCTATGTAGTCCACTACTTTTGGCCAAAACTTTAAGTAGTGCACTATAGAAAAGAGGGTGCAGGCTCTGGACAAAGGGATTGCACTATATAGGGAATAGGGTGCCATTTTGGACATAGCCCTAATAAACAAGAAATGTCTGTCCGTCCGTCTATGGGCTGTAGATTAACCCAGATGAGTCTGTGTTAAGAGCGGTTGAGATAAGAGCTGTCGACCTTCAGTTTGGGTTCACGTAAACACAGGCGAGCCTCCCACTAACCTGTTAATTGCAAAATACAAGCTTCATGCAAATAGTGCATTTGTTTACTTAATAAGGGCTATCTGGGTTCAGCTCGACAGGGAGGCTGCTCTGCTGCAGGCAGATGGTCCAGTGTTTCAGTTGTCCTTGAGAAAGGGCACCAACCTAGTGGTATCAACACAGTCCTATCACAGGCTTGGGTATTACAGTGTTTTCACATGGCTTTGAGTATCAAATCAGAGCTATAAAGAGAAAGAAACGTGTGTGTGTTGTACGTGCATACGTGTGCATGTTGTTGTGTGTGCATGTGCAAGAACTGTACACTGACATTCTACCCTGTGTTTTACCCTCTCTCTACAGAGGACATCTTCCCATGTAAGGCGTGTGGGATCTGGTACCGCAGTGAGAGGAACCTGCAGGCCCACCTGATGTACTACTGCAGTGGCAGGCAGAGGGAGCCAGAGAGCCAGGGGGAGGAGAATGACAACGGACCCCACCAGACCCCCAGCATCTGCCCCTTCCCACAGTGCAACAAGAGCTTCACCAGTGCCAGGGCCCTGGAAATGCACCTGAGCACGCACAGCAGTGAGTAGAGATGTACTGGTAGTACTGTTAGTATAGTAGTTTAGATTTATTTTAGCTGTCATTCAGTTGTAAGTATCTCACCATTGAGTAAATGTAATCCTATTTATTATTTAATTATGTTGAGTAGTACAGAACAGTATAACTTTAATATTTTTCAGTCATTTTAGTATTTGGTTTTATAATGAAAAGTATTGCTTGACATTAAGACAATCTCAGTTTCACATTAGTCAGGTAAAATAATTGGCAAAGTGAACTACTACTCTTAGCTCCAGAAATATACACGTTCCACTGTCAGCTTATGCAGTTGACAGTTTAGCTTTCAGCCCACCCAAAACTCAGGAGGGTTTGGAGTAAGCTTGGCATAATGCATCAGTTTTTGATCGTAGCCGTAGTTAACATTAAGGCAGAGTGGGAAGGCGAAGAGGAATCTCAACAGTGTCCTTTAATCTCCCTAACAGGTGTCAAAATGGAAGAGACGCTCCCCCCTGGCACCAGCTTGAAATGCACAATCTGTAACTACACGGCGGATTCTCTTATTACTTTCCAACATCACATCCTCTCTCACCTGTCACAGGCAGCCTTCAGATGCAATCACTGCCATATCAGCTTCCAGAACCACAGGGAACTCTTGCAGCATCAGGACTTACACAGCCACCATGGCCACGGCGGTGGCAGCAAACTTCACAGGGAGAGCGACAGTGAGCACTCCCCCAGGGGGGCGGAGGAAGCCCTGCAGCAGGCAGCGGCCCGCGTCGAGTTGGCCAACCGGAAGGAAGCCCTCCAGAGTCCCAAAGCAAGTCCCTCAGCAAGGACGCCACCACCGACAGCGAGCTGGAGAAGGCTGAGAAAAAGCCCATGCTGTCAGGGCAGAAGGACAGTGGCCACCCGGGCATTAAGGCCAGCTTCTCTTACACCCGGATCAAGTCTGAGCCCTCCAGCCCCCGCCTGGCCTCCTCTCCCGTTCAGCATAACATGGGCCCCACCTTCCCCATGGGGCCCTTCCTGTCCCAGTTCGCTTTCTCCCAGGACATTTCTGTCGTCCCGCAGGCTTCTGAGATTCTGGCTAAAATGTCAGAGCTGGTGCACCGGAGGCTACGCCACGGTGGGAACACGGGCTACCCTCCTGTGATCTACAGCCCCCTCATGAACAAAGGGGCCACGTGTTTCGAATGCAATATCACCTTCAACAACCTGGACAACTACCTGGTCCACAAAAAGCACTACTGTAACAGCCGCTGGCAGCACATGGCCAAGTCGGCTGACTTCTCTAGCGTCTCAGACAAGGCCGTGAGCCCCAACAGTGGCCATAGCTCAGTCAGTATGCTCACGGGATGCCACCCGTCTGAGGTGACCGACAGCCACCTGATGCAGTCGGCCTGTTTGTCAGTCAACTCTCAAAGTGTTCTGGACATGATCAATGCAGGAGCGGCAGTGAAAGGCCCTGGCCCAGAGAAGGAGCTCCCAGGCCAGGTGAAGAAGGTCTCCACCACCCCGACCGGCGTGGAGGAGAGGCTGAACGGGAAGCAGCAAGTGGTGGAGGGGAAGAGCCCCACCAACACGCCTCTGGTGGAGACTGACGTCAACGACCCCAACCAGACTTCCTGTGCGGCATGCAATATCACCTTTAGCCGCCACGAGACCTACATGGTCCACAAGCAGTACTATTGTGCTACGCGTCACGACCCCCCCATGAAACGCATGTCCGCCAACAAGGTTCCCTCCATGCAGAGGACCATGAGGACCCGCAAACGCAGGAAGATGTACGAGATGTGTCTCCCAGACCAGGACCCGAGAGGACCCTCCATTGGGCAGCCAGGGTTCCTGGGGGTCCCTCCAATGGAGAACCCCTGTACGTCCCAGGAGGCAGTGGAGAGCCTGGTCGACCGCTTTCACCCTCGCTGTGACGTCTTCCCAGGGATGGTTCCCCAAACACCTGGAGGCTTCCCTCACCGTCACCAAGTCTATCATGGCCCCCAACCGCAATACCACTATGGACCAGCAGGAGCTGGACGCACCCATCGATCTCAGCAAAAAGTGCTCGCCTATCCCCAATGACAAGACATCACCCAACTCCCCCAAAAGACTGTTGGACTATCACGAATGTACAGTGTGCAAGATCAGTTTTAACAAAGTGGAGAACTACCTAGCGCATAAACAGAACTTTTGTCCTGTGACAACAGCCACAGCCACCCAGCAGCACGGTGGTGAGACCATGTTCCCAGACGTGGTGAAGAGTGAAGGCAGTAATCCTGATGATGCCTACAATAAGAGCCCCGGGAAATGTGAGAAGAACGGCAACGATAAAATGATTGTGCAGAACGGGGGTGGAATGTTCCCCCCTAACATGGGCCCAGTGCCGGGTATCAAGCCCTTCAGCGAGGCTCAGCTCATCCCAACTAAAGACGAGAACATGTTTCTGCCCCACTGCCTTTATCCCGGCGCAATAAAGAAGATGAAAGGTGCCGAGCAAATATCGCCCTACTTTGGGATAAAGCCAACCGATTACGTGGCCGGCGGACTGGTCATGCAGGGAGAGAGAGAGGTGAGCAGCGAGCAGGAGCCGAGCACTAATGGAGGGGGACCAGAGACAGGGAGAGAGCAGCCTGCTGCCAACGGCTGCCCACTCCCCAGCAAAGAGCCACTGCCCCTGCTGCCCAAAAACAGGGGCATGGTGATAGTCAACGGTGGGCACAAGCCAGAGGAGCGCTCGGGCTCGGGACCCGTCCCACCCAGCCAGGATAACCAATCCCACAATCCCCAGCAGCAAGACAGCCACCCCTCACCCACGTGGGGCGCGGAGAACCCGTCCGACTCCAACGAGAACGTGTCGCCCGCGTCCAAGTCTCCGACCGAGGAGGCGGTGCCCACGGTGACAAAGGGTGTGAATGGGTCATCCCAGGCTGCGGGGAGCGGGAAGTACTGCCGCCTCTGTGACATCCAGTTCAACAACCTATCAAACTTTATTACCCATAAGAAGTTTTACTGTTCGTCACATGCTGCGGAGCATGTGAAATGAACTAGTTCCTGTTTAGTTTCTGTCCCTTCCCACTCCCCTTTTTTCTGTTTGGGTACACTGTCGTGTCTGGACTGGTGCATCACTCACGCAGTTCTAAACGCTGCTTGTGGACAATCAAGAGAAGCTTCTTCTTCTTCGTCATTTTAAGACTTCACTGCAAATCATTGGTTAAAAAAGAAAAAATTAACAAATGAATCCAGAATAATATTGGTGCCACTTTCACATTTATTTATTTTACAATCAGTATTAATTGTAGTGATCTTAATTTAAAATTCAAATGAAATTTATATCAGAGTTGTTTGTAATGTTATTGTATAGTCATTCTTGTGTAGCACACACATTGTTTACACTGTAATGTAGGCTCAATGAAACAATAGAATACAAATGAGATGCATTTTAGACACAAAATAGCTACTGAAGCACTTGTCTAGTCTTATTTGCGGTAAAAGTTTTTGTATATGCCTAAGTGTCATTTGCAGCTTTGCTATTCATGACTGATTGTTGGCCTTAACCCGCCCTTGGTGGGATAGCCAGGCACAGTCCAGCTGCATCTTCTGTTTTGGCATACACTTGGCTTAGCATATGTATGTGGCTGTGTCCCAGTCTCCTTTCTTTAACTCAGACGTGGATGTTTTCAGGAGGGTGGCAACATTCTTGTATAGTACACGTATTTCTGTTTGCTGAACTACACTTTGGTCTCCCTTTTTAAAATTTGCTCTCGATGCAATACTTTGTAAATGAGGGAACATTACTGAAAGCAGTATTATGAGAGGGGGACTGCATATATTATTTGAAACCCATAGAAAAAAATGTAATTGTACAAGAATTACATTTATTGCTGTTGATGATGGACAAGATGGGTTGGGAGGTTGGTTGATGGGGGTTACTGATGTAAAATAATCATTCCAATGTCCTAATTATGGGAGAGAAAAAGTTTCTTAAAAAACGTTGTTGCTATGCATGTATATGGATGGAATACAATTCCAGAACTGTTGGAAATAATTTTTATTTTGATGTGGTGTCATAATTAAACTTAAATCCTCAGGATAATCCAATGATGTTTGGTATTTTCTTTCAAAGCTACAACACAGTCCCAGGATAGTGGATGTGTACATTAGATATAAAGGGACAGAGTGCTCTATTCAATCCGCATTGTGAAAATTCAGTTTTACAGCGTGAATCAAATTTAAAGTCAATGTTCCCGCTTAAGCGGAGCCGGCATTCTAGGTAAACGCTGCATATGTCGGCTCAATCGGAAATTACTTTTACATTCTTTCGTGGAATCTGTAACGCTTCAGCTTTACAGATTTAATAGATCCCAGTGGTAGAGTTAACACACAGATACACATTCAGAAAACTATTATTTATTTACAAACATTAAGGCAAAACTGTCTGATATTTGCACTTGTAATAAAGTATACAAAAAGTAAATAAATCGATTGAAACCGGTTTCATGTGTGGACATACACATGTCAAGTATATTCCAGTCAATAATCATCCCTGAAAAAAAGAAACAAGGAACCTCTGTGACATACCACTCAGTTGACTTCAGATGACTTCATCTTGCAGTTGTGGTAATTGAGACATTTGGCAGCAGAATCGGTGAGTCACTGGCACAGAATTAGAACCTTAAAATTAAAGCATTTGAACTAGATGTATTCTATAGATCTATGTGGTCATTGGCTCTGCTGTTTGGACTGCCGTTGGGACACCAGCTTCCACAGGTGTTTGCTAACAACAGACGGTCTCTTGTAGATCATCCTGCGGTCCCCTCCTTTAACATGGATCTGGTTGGCCAAGGGGTAAGTCTGCTCCATGAACGTCTTCTGAAGCTGGGCCACCATCTGATATGGAAGCACATACAGTCAAATGTTCATTTGAGTTAGTTTGAGGGCCCTGTGAGAAACAGTCAATATGCATCATCCCAATTCCATCCATCCCCTTTCTCCCCGAAGTGTGCACTGTTCAGTCCCCCTGAACTAGTGCAGGCATTGGCTAAGATGGCGCCGATGAATGGCGCATCGCCTCGAGCTTCTACAAAACATTGCAGGCTTCTACTTTTTCTAGTGTTTTTCTTTAAATGTTCTCACTCAGTTTGTTTTGTGCATTGCTTCATACCCCCCAGGTAAAACGATTGGAATATGAATCGCTGGGTAGTCACCGTCCACCTGACCTTCCCAAATTCCCGGAGATGGCGGAACAATGGTCTAGCGCTGGGTTGCCTGGGAGTCCTACCGGAGAGTAGGAACTAAAGACAGCGATGGAGAGGCAGACGTGGGGGTGTCTTAGTGAGATTGAGACGCTGGGTGACCCGTCCTCCATTACCCAGCGTACTACTCGCCAATGTTCCATCATTAGTGAATAAACTTGACAAACTCAGAGCGAGGATCTCCTTCCAGAGGGACATCAGATTCTGCAACATCCTCTGTTTTTCTGAGACCTGGCTTTCCTCGGACTTCCAAACAGATTCTATACAACCAGCGGGTTTTACAGTTCATCGAGCGAATAGGAAGAGGGCTCACTCTGGCAAGAACAAAAGGCGGAGGGCTCTGCTTTATGACCAATAACAAGTAGTGCGACGGGGAACACGTACAGGAACTTCCGAGCTTCTGCTCTCCTGACTTGGAATACTTGGTCATCAAATGTCACCCTTTTTACCTTCCGAGAGTTTTCAGGGATTATCGCTACTTCTGTGTACATCCCGCCCCAAGCCGACACCAAAAAAGATCTCAAAGATCTTCATTGGACCCTGAATAATAATAATAATAATAATAATAATAATAATATGCCACTTGGCAGACGCTTTTATCCAAAGCGACTTACAGTCATGCGTGCATACATTTTTGTGTATGGGTGGTCCCGGGGATCGAACCCACTACCCTGGCATTACAAGCGCCGTGCTCTACCAGCTGAGCTACAGAGGACCAGAATCCGCGTACCCAGAGGCAGCGTTCATTGTCGCAGATAACTTTAACAAAACTAATTTGAGAACCGTGCTCCCGAATTACTATCAACACATTGACTGTCCAACTGGTGGATATTCTACGCTGTAGCACTGCTACACGCCTTTTCGACACGGGTATAAGGCCATCTCCCGTCCTCCTTTCGGCAAATCAGACCATGACTCCATTTTGCTCTTCCCCACCTACAAACACAGACTCAATAGGAAAGTTCCGATGGTCAGGTCTGTCCAACGCTGGTCTGAAAAAAAACATATTGTAAACATATATTGTAAAGTGGTTATCCCACTGGCTATAAGGTGAATGCACCAATTTGTAAGTCGCTCTGGATAAGAGTATCTGCTGACGTAAATGTAAATGTCTGACCAATCAGAATCCATGCTTCAAGACTGTTTTGATCACGTGGACTGGAATATATTCCGATGCTGTTCAGCTCGGCCTTCAATACCATAGTGCCCTCTGAGCTCTCCACAAATCTCACAGCCCTGGGACTTAACTCCTCCACACTGATCCTCAACATGGGGGCCCCACAAGGGTGCATCCTCAGTCCCCTTCTGTACTCCCTGTATACCCACGATTGCGTGGCCTCACACAGTTCCAACTCCATCATCAAGTTTGCTGACGACACGACAGTAGTAGGCCTGATTACCAACAAGTACACACTTCTGGGTGAAGATTGAGAAGTGGAATTGGGCTAGCCACTAGACAGACTAATGGAGGGAGGAAGGTTGTACACTACTCACGTGGTTTAGATGAGCTGGAATTTGCTCATCAAAAGAATCCCCAATGATCACACTCACAGAAGTCCTACTGGAGAGGGGTTTGAATTTAGAGATTTCCCTGAAAAACAATCAAAACATTACATACAAATCTCAAAACAAGTTTGCTTTTACACTTGCGTTACCTACTGTAGTGTATATCCAAAATTATTGTGTGATGACAGCTTTATAACATTCACATGTACTGTATGTTGGTCTCACCTGACTTGAGAAGCACTTTCATTCAGGAAGAAATGTTCATCTACAGCACTGCTCTGGTGGGCTGGGTTACTGAGGAAGTACTTCTGAGAACACAAAGACATATGATAATATTGGACAATGGCCTGAAAGTAAGTGTGTGTGTGAGTGTGTGCGCGTGTGCGCACGCATTATAACCTTAACTTGTCTCCAAACCTTTCTCTTTCCCTACAATTTAAGCAAAATGACTCACTTGATGTCCTTATCTCCTTGGTAACAACTGTAATATTTCAAAAGCTGAAATAAGTCCATCATCTATGTTGCCATCAAAAAGTGGGTTCCAGGAAATAGAACCAAGATATTTTAACTAACAGTTCAGACTTTAACCTGGAGCAGTTTTCCACCTTTCCTCTCTCCCTCTCTCTTCTCCTTCTGAGGAACGATCGTTACTCTACCACTAGCTCCATCATGTGGCTATGTTACAGATTGTTCTCTAACACAACAAGATAAGGTTGGACCATCACACCTGGACATCTCCTCCTGCCCAATAACAGAGTATGGAATTTCATTTGTTGTGTCACCAGGTATATTGAGGCACATCAAAATCACACATTCAAATGCATGGTTTAAAAATAAGACATTGAGAACATAAGAGCTGTTGACCTGATCCCAGATATGTTAGTTTGGTCTTTAAGACGGACCTGACGCCTTATGAGGTTTTCAGCAATATTCCAGTCAGACTCACCTGTCTCTGTATGAGGTCTTCAGCGATGTTGTCCCCCATGATGGCGGGCTTTAGCAGCCCCAGAATGATGAGGATGCGGCTGATGCCTGTGGCAGCTGAGAATTGCATGGCCTGGAGGGATGGCACCAGCTGACTGTACCTACAGATACAGAACACAACAACATGTGACTAACTATAGAGACACAGAACAACAACAACATGTGACTAACTATAGACACACAGAACACAATAACATGTGACTGTAACTATAGAGACACAGAACACAACAATGGCAATTTGAATGCAGAGATACCGTGACGAGATCCTGAGGCCTGTTGTCGTGCCATTCATCAGCCGCCATCACCTCATGTTTCAGCATGATAATGTACGTCCCCATGTCGCAAGGATCTGTACACAATTCCTGGAAGCTGAAAATGTCCCTGTTCTTCCATGGCCTGCATACTCAACAGACATGTCACCCATTGAGCAAGTTTGGGATGCTCTGGATCAACGTGTACGACAGTGTGTTCCAGTTTCCGCCAATATCCAGCAACTTCGCACAGCCATTGAAGAGGAGTGGGACAACATTCCACAGGCCACAATCAACAGCCTGATCAACTCTATGCGAATGAGATGTCACGCTGCATCTGGTCACACCAGATACTGACTGGTTTTCTGATCCATGCCCTACCTTTTTTTAAAGGTATCTGTGACCAACAGATCCATATCTGTATTCCCAGTCATGTGAAATCCATAGATTAGGGCCTAATGAATTTATTTCAATTGACTGATTTCCTTATATGAACTGTAACTCAGTAGAATTGTTGCGTTTATATTTTTCTTCAGTGTAATTGCGTGCCTCTTCCTTTAACAGACTATAATTTAAATGGATTTCCAATCCTGATATTAAATGATCGACAAATGCAATGTTTCAATACTGACAAGAGTATGGTTATAGAACAATGCATGGAGTATGATTATAGAACAGCCCTAGGCTAGGCTGTGTTTCACTGTTCTTTAGGCTAGCAGCAATAAGCCCTCTAAACTGAGAGATTGCAGGGGAGAGATGAGATGGCTAGGAAAGCCCTTGACCTTAGTTTCACCTACAACATCATAGCGATGTGTTTATTCTGAACAATCTTGGTTACAACAGTGTGACATATAGACAATGTCGCGTCGGTCAAAAAAAACGGACCTATTGGGAACATCCATCATAAATATGATATTAATAAATATGTATTTTCAGCCAAAATCCCAAACTTTCTCTAACAGGACGTTTTGACAGGAGAGAATGAGAGATATTTTTTTGGGGCAAATGAGGAGAGCTTTGCTGGGATTTTGTAACTCAGGAGGGCCAATCGGTCTCGGCTCACTGGTGCTTTGAATTGGCTGGTCTCAGCCTGCAGAGCCCAATCAATAGTGGCGTCCGCCTCACAGCTGCCAGTGCTCAGCCCCCCTCCTCTAGTGTTCAGCCCACCCATCCACTTTGCTCAGACCACCCACAGCCCTAAGCCCTTGCCCTCAGTTCACCCTCAGCCAACCCACCCCACAGCTCTGACCCTCACAGCTATCCCTACAGCGCTCCCCCAACTGCTAGGCCCACAGCCCCAAGACACAGCCCTAAGGCCCAGGCCTCAGCCCACCCCACAGTGCTAGTCAGGCCCACAGCCTCCAGCCAGGCCCCAACCTAGAGTGCACCCCCCCCGACCCAGTGCTCACCCTACAGCCTTCACCTCAAGTCGACATTGGCTTGTTATTTCCCATATGTGTTGAGATATCAAGCTTTGTCAAAGGATGTAAATCCTGATAAGGCTATAACCTGATGTCTAGATGAGGCTATAAACTGATGTCTAGATAAGGCTATAACCTGATGTCTAGATGAGGCTATAAACTGATGTCTAGATGAGGCTATAACCTGATGTCTAGATGAGGCTATTAACTGATGTCTAGATGAGGCTATAAACTGATGTCTAGATCAGGCTATAAACTGATGTCTAGATGAGGCTATAACCTGATGTCTAGATGAGCCTATAAAGTGATGTCTAGATGAGCCTATAACCTAATGTCTAGATGAGGCTATTAACTGATGTCTAGATGAGCCTATAAAGTGATGTCTAGATGAGCCTATAACCTAATGTCTAGATGAGGCTATTAACTGATGTCTAGATGAGACTATAACCTGATATCTAGATGAGGCTATTAACTGATGTCTAGATGAGGCTATAAACTGATGTCTAGATAAGGCTATAAACTGATGTCTAGATAAGGCTATAACCTGATGTCTAGATGAGACTATAACCTGATGTCTAGATGAGGCTATTAACTGATGTCTAGATGAGGCTATAAACTGATGTCTAGATGAGCCTATAAAGTGATGTCTAGATGAGCCTATAACCTGATGTGTACTCAGGTATTTGGAGATACAAATGTTAACAGTCTTCCATTCTTAAACTTCAGCTACAATACACGCGTCACCGTCTAAGTGCTGTCAATGGGACGTTCTACCTGCTACACAGCAACCAACCAAAAATCGACTTTATTTCAATTTACATGATAGAATGAACGCTTGAGTCAACCATCGAGAATTGAACCTCAGCGATTCTTGAGCTTGGACACAGTCATTGGACGCGACGCAACGCGAGCAGTATAGCAGCTTTCATTCATTTCAAAGGAAGCATTCCCTCAATGGCTGATGGCAATGCTGGACGCCTAATGGCTGTATTGTAGCAGGGCCATTAGGAAGAAGTCACAAATAGCCAAAAGTTTAACTTAGTGGTGGCAGAAGACAGGAAAATAGTTGCTGCTACCTTTCTCAATTTCAGCCTTTCACAGACCATTTTCCTTCTTCAAATCAGATATACAAAGACTGACATTTTGACATTCTCATCTTCCTTGCCACTATTTCCCCCCTGAAGTCATTCTCGCCCCACAATTTAGAAGGGACTCTTATAACCTGGCTTTTTAGGGACTTCTCTGTCTCCACACATTTCCACCTGTCACCTTTTCCTCTCCATAAAAACTCTATCAGCCCCTGTTTGAATCTGGTCAAATCATTGCTCTGTCTGTCTGTCTGTCTGTCCTTGGCATTGACATTATTTCAAGGATTCTCCAGCCACCTGTCCTGTACCTTCCTATTCCCTCCTCTTTTTTTCCATTTTTAATTCTGCCCGGGAGTGAGGATTATGCGAGGGAAGGCATGCGTGTCAAAGGGAAATGTAGTGGGTAAAGACAGCCCAGATTGGCGGGATGAATGAAGGCGATAAGACGGGAGAGGGAGTGGAGGAACCATGTAGAGCAAAACGCCTCAGCCATGTTGGTCATTTCAGAAGACTCTTTTTTCCCACCTTCCTCCTCAGGAGCGGCAAGGCAATATCTAAATTAATAACGTGATGAAATGAGTTTGTGCGGTGGACTTTCTGCTGTTTGACTTTCCCATCTGGATTAGTGCAGGCTGAATAGACGCTCTGTTACTTTTGTTACAACTGTCGCAATTCACTGTCGGAATTTGGCCCCCCGACAAGATAACACGGTCCTGCCTCATTAGCATGTCATTCCATATGCAGGGCCTCCATTACCTGAGAGGGAGCTCACGGACAAAACACAGACTATTACACGAGTAGAACGTAGAACATGTTCTATTACACGACTAGGAGAGAACGTAGAACATGCACTATTAAATGAGAACACATAAAATTGACTATTAAGTAGGTTAGAACGTAGAACATGGACAATTACAAGAGTAGCAGAGAACACAGAACATGGACTATTACGCAGGTTGGCATTTATTGTCATGAGTCTTGCGCTGGAGGCAGCTCTGCAGAGTGGTCACTAGCTGGCACAGCCACAAAGTCATACAATCTTATTTTAAACCAAACCCCAACCACACTGTTAAGCCTAATGTCCTAACCCTGATCTTAAAATTACAACCAAAAGGCGAATTTTGGTTTTCATGAATTCTTATGATGTAACCAATTTTGCAGCTGGCGCATCTAGTGGAAATGGCTCAGTTCTTCCTCCTGGGCAAGATTCATGAAAATAAACCTGCAACTATTAGACTAGTAGGAGAGAAAACAGAACAAGGACTATTACAGGAGAGAAAACAGAACAAGGACTATTACAGGAGAGAAAACAGAACAAGGACTATCACAGGAGAGCAAACAGAACAAGGACTATTACATGAGAGCAAACAGAACAAGGACTATCACAGGAGAGAAAACAGAACAAGGACTATTACAGGAGTAGGAGAAAGAAATAGTACAATATAAAACAGTGATTTATTGGGAGATTCCTGTGAAACACAGTGACACACCAAACAGAGGGTGGAGCCATTCTCATCTTGCTACCTTGTAGTGTTACTTGGAAATACTTATAATACAGGGCTCCAGTCACATTCAAGCTGCGAAGATTTGTAAATGTAATCAAAGTGCCATTCTTCCTGAGATTAACAACTACTGAAACTAGAGACATGAATGAATAAATGCAGACAGACTGCCCTTTCAGTAAACCAACAGAGCAATGCCCCACTTGGCCACAGTGTGGCAGTGTTGTACTGCCCAGAACAGCCAGAGCCAGCAGCGGTTCATTACTCCCTGAGTCAAGACTATAGATTATAGCGGAGGAAATACACGGGGGCCGAGACAGCCCTGCTTCATTAGTGGAACGGAGCAACAATAGTTACACTTAAGCGGTGCCAATTACATTCCTGACTCTCCTGCTAGTCTCTGGGGAGCTGTGCTGTTCTAACAGAGTTAGCGGAGGCTGAGAGGAGGCAGAAAGAAACATTGGAGACGTTTCAATGGAGTCATGGCTACTCTCTGTCGCAGAGTAACACACACTCACTGACTCTCTCTCTCTCGCACACGCACACACTTGAAAGACTCACACTCATAATCGTTATCCTAACAGAGTGCGTCATATTTCCTGGTGTTACTGTCCACTCCACCAGGTCTTGTCTACTCCCACAGTCCATTGGTGGAGCTGCCTATCTGGGCCCTGAGTCCCCCATGACAGGGGTTGGGAGGCTTGGAGCCTGGCTTGGCCTTGCTCGACTGGATTACTGAACACAGGCAGGCAACACACAGAGTGAATGAGCTCAGAGGAGAATGCTGCTGCTACCTGTGCCTGGCCTGCAGAGTGGATGGACTGCTCTCTGTCACTATACAGTCCTCAACCTAGACATAGCCACAGAGTATGGAAAGTCCTTTGACAATTTTTGGAAACAGCAGCTCACAACTTCAATCCTAGAGACGGTCCTCAGTCATGTGTTTCAGAATCAGCCTTCTACCCAGCCTGTAAAACTGTGACTGAAAGCGCAGATGGACACACACTTTCAACAAACAAGGGGAAAATAAAAGCATATGGTTTATAAATCTAATGAAACGAGAGGAATCATCTATGCCCATCACACCAGTCCATCATCTGACAAAGTGACAGTCATATGTTGCCTGTCATACAAAACTGTCTCCCCCTACCTTCCTCTGCTGGCTGTCTGGCTAGGGGGGTCTGAGTGTCAGAGAAACATGAACAGGAACATATACACACACACACACACACACACACACACACACACACACACACACACACACACACACACACACACACACACACACACACAGTTTGCCCAGGGCAGTCTGGGACAGTCTGTGTCCTCAGTGTGCCCAGGATATTAATGACGGATCAGATGATGAATGGGGCTTGGCTGGATGTGATTTGGAGTCTCCATTACGACTCATAACTCTATCAGGTTTCCATCCAGGCTGATCCACCTCCAGACCAGGCTGGCCCACCACCTACCACCCCAGCTGGTACTGTAGCTCATGTCTGCCTGCTGAGAGACAGCCAGTCAGGTGGGGCTTCCATCACCTCCACCACACCATCAGACCCAGTGCTTTGACTGTCTGGTTCTGCTAGTTTAAAATGTCACTGCAGGTTGACCAAGCATTAACCCTTTAAAGTAAATGCCTTCTTAGTAGGACATTAAGCCCTCTTACTTTCATTATAACAGGTACTGTGAGTCTTGGAAACCTTTTCTTCTACTTGATATTATGAAGAGTGCAGATGTTGGTCATACTAACATGAAAGCGTCTTTGTCCTGAATATCTGAAATAAGGAAAATAACCAACATCATAAATGCAATTAGCCTATTTCTACATAGTTATACTCCAGTGATTTCATGATGTGAAGGATTCAGTTTGAGTAAACATTTAAAAAGCTAGAGTAAAATTGGGTGTTTTGACAATCAACAATCATTAAACAAACAATTAGGACAAGCTCATTAAAATAGAATACTTCCCACTGTTTTGGATTATATTAAATAGGAGTCAATATTTTCCCCTGAGACAAAGTCATTCTGTAATACACCCACCAAAAACACCGGCACTCACTCACACTCACACTCACACACTCACACACTCACACTCACACACACACACACACACACACACACACACACACACACACACACACACACACACACACACACACACACACACACACACACACACACACACACACATTATGAGGTCCAGGTCTGGTATCTATGGTTCCCTATCCCCTTCCCATATACAACTGTAACCTTCTCACCAGGCTCGAATTTGACTCTCACGATATTACCTTATTTAGAATATCTGAACAGCATGGGATATTAGGTGAGAAGGACATCTCCAATAACAATCCCTATTGTAAACTTGCTAGGGTGAATGACAAATAGGGTATTAACTTCAGATAGAATGATTATAGACTTGGTTATTGTTATAAGGATATGCTTTCCCATGCATTAAATGAAACTGAAACAGTAAATTACTCCACCAATACAACAGACATAAGGTTCAAGATCTATATTAATCAAATGTTCAATGTATCACATCAAAAGAAATAAAAATTATAAACCCCAATGATTTTTCCACAACCCATGTCCAAATTATTTGCAAGCTTGCTTAAACCCTGGGCGCGCGTTGGGAGCTCATAAAAAAAATGACGACATACATAAAGTCCCGAAGTCCACCCCACATTTGTAGTTAATCACTACTTGTAGATAATGCCTCAGCACAATATAGTAGTTCCGTGCAGGTGTCCTCACAAGATCCACAGCGAACACAGCTATCAATGCAGCCAGTACTCGGTAGCAGCAACAGACATCCGTTGGAAACCCGAACTGATCGTCACAAGCAATTCTCTCCAAGTCTTGCACGATGCTAGGCTAACCTCTAGGATGTCGAATGTCTCCACAATGCGACCACAGCTTCAGTCTCTACTAGGTCTTTCTTAACGAAATAATAAACACTCTCTTATAGAAATAAAATCAGGATTTCCCTTTAAAAAACTCTGTAGGTATGGTTTTGTTCTCTCTTTATCGTTTCCTTTGGTCGTTTTTTCCTTCACCAACCCCACTAACGTCTCTCCTCTCCCTTCTTTCAACTTTTCCCTCTATTTTCTTTCCCAGCAACCAGTCCACTCTCCCATTGGCCACAACTTAACAAGTTACCTCATTGGTCAAAACTTTAACGAGATACGTGGGAAAATTAAACTTAAAAGTAAACCAACCTATTCACTTGTAATTTTTTTTTAAACATTGCTTCAAAAGAAATGCATTAATGACATTACAAATCAGGAGCTATTCGATCACCTTTTAAATCTAATACCAATGAATTATAACAAATAAACTCTATACTTCCGTCCTCTGTAGCTCAGCTGGTAGAGCACGGCGCTTGTAATGCCAAGGTAGTGGGTTCGATCCCCGGGACCACCCATACACAAAAAAAAAATGTATGCACGCATGACTGTAAGTCGCTTTGGATAAAAGCGTCTGCTAAATGGCATATTATTATTATTATTATTATTATTATACTTGGTTTTAGCAAGGTATTACACTCTCCCCCCACCAAAATAGGCATGTCCTCATGACGTGTAAACATAAGTGAAATGTAATGACAAGTAAATGTGTCAACTCTTAACTACAACCTACAGCTGAGACAAAACTTGTTAGATAATTGAAAATGAGATACATTTGTGTTTCCCTTATCCAATCCACTTGTACAATGTGGAACAATATCTGACAACTGGGGCTATACTTGGAACTCCAGGTTTATCATAGGTAAGTAATACAGGTGCTTTCTTTACTCTCTGAGATCTTCTTATCCCTGGTCCTTCCATTTCCTCCGAAGTTTCCACTTCTCCCTGAACTTCTCGTTCCTCTTCTGTAATCTCTTCAACTGAGTTAGATGCCTCATTATCATCTGCTTCAACTCCAGTTGCGACCTCAGCTTCTTGACTGGACTCTTTTACTTCCAGAACTTGGTCTGCTCTTTCAGGTTCCCCTGTCATTTGATTCCAAACTATGTCTAAGTCCAAGCTAAATGGTTCCGACCTCTCTTCCACTTCTCGGCTTATACAGTTTGTATTTGGCACTTCATACCATACTCCGATGTCCTCATCTTCTGAGTCAAAATCCTTATCATCTTCTGGATTCTCAACCTCTTCAACTTTCTCATCTTTCCGAGGAGTACAGTTTCCAGGCAACTTTTCATGTCCCTTTCTCTTCCTCCTTCTTTGCAGGGTCCTTCTACCAGGTGTTGGTTCTATGTTAACCACAGGTTCTATGCGCACTTTCTGCCCCAGTGGTAGCAGGTGATTTCGATGAAAAATCTTAATGGGTCCATCTCCAATTTCAGGCTTCAAATGAAACACAGGTAAGTTTGACATCTGACTTTCCACCACATATGGCGTAGAGGCCCAGCGATCTGCCAGCTTATGTTTTCCCTTCAGTCCTAGATTCCGTATGAGGACTCTGTCTCCAGGCATAAGTTGCATGTAGCGGATCTTCTTTTCATATCGCTGTTTGTTTTCTTGGTTTTGCTTTCCAGCAGTGCTCTCAGCAAGTTTGTAAGTAGCTTGTAACTGTTTCTTCATATCAGATACATACTTGAGGTAAGTTCTCTCTGAAGAGCTATCACTCGAGACTCCAAAACAAATATCAACAGGCAATCTAGCTTCACGTCCAAACATCAAAAAATATGGCGAATAGCCAGTCGCTTCATTCCGACTACAGTTATACGAGTGCACTAGATGCCCAACATTCTGACTCCATTTGTTCTTTCGTGTAGGATCAAGAGTTCCAAGCATGTTCAACAAGGTTCGGTTGAATCTCTCGGGTTGCGGATCTCCCTGAGGATGATATGGTGTTGTCCTTGACTTCTCCACTCCAAGCATATTCAGTAGCTCATGGATGAGTCAACTTTCAAAATCTCTACCTTGATCACTATGCATCCTCTTGGGCAGACCATAATGGATGAAGTACCTCTCCCACAATACCTTGGCGACCGTGGATGCTTTCTGATCCTTCGTAGGAAAAGCTTGAGCGTATCTTGTGTAATGATCCGTAATGACAAGAACATTCGCTGTGTTACTGGAGTCAGGCTCAATGGACAGGAAATCCATACACACAAGGTCCATAGGTCCATCACTTTGCATATGACCAAGCGGAGCAACTATCTTTGGAAGTGTTTTCCTCTGTACACAGCGAGCACAGGACTTACAGTACTCTTCTACTTCCATCTTCATGCGTGGCCAGTAGAACCGGTCTCTGACAAGTCCATATGTCTTGTCAAATCCTAAATGACCTGAGTCATCATGCAGCGACGTGAGAACCATAGTTCTGAACTTCTCTGGAAGAAGTAATTGAGCACGACGAGTCTTGTTTGGCGGATGTGTGATCCTGTACATAACTCCATCATCCATCTTTAGCTTCTCCCACTCTCTCAGGAGCAAAGAGATGAGTGGATGTTTTGTCCTGGTCACCCTGGTGATATCATGTTTATTAAGAGCAACCCACATCTCTCCTAAGCAAGGATCTTCTTGTTGCGATGCAGAAAGTTCCATAGTGCTCAATCTTGGCATGTTAGACGTCAGCATGCTCAGGTTACAGTATGCTTGAGGCACAGCATGCATAGAGGCTCCCAACTGATCAATCACTCTACTATGAGATGATCCAGGAGTTATTCTAACAACATTAGACATCTGGCACATGGCTCTAACACCGGATGCAGGAATGTCTCTCCAATCTTGTTCCACTGCATATTGCTGATGAGGGCGGCGAGATAAAGCATCGGCATCTATGTTCTGCCTGCCTGGCCTGTACTTGAGACTAAAGTCATAGGTAGACAACGCAGCCAGCCAACGATGACCAGTGGCATCCAGTTTTGCGGACGTGAGGACATATGTCAATGGGTTGTTGTCTGTTCTAACCTCGAACTTGACCCCATACAGGTAATCATGTAGTTTATCAACCACGGCCCACTTCAACGCAAGAAACTCTAACTTGTGAGCTGGGTAGTTGCGTTCAGAAGTGGTCAGGCTTCGACTCACAAATGCCACAGGACGCAGACCCTCACCTTGATCTTGGTACAGTACTCCACCTAACCCTTCGCGGCTACCATCTACATGTAGAACGTATGGCAACTGAGGATCAGCAAAAGCCAACACAGGAGCTTTTGTGAGGCTTTCCTTCAATGTCTCGAATGCCAATTCACACTTTTCATTCCACCTTGATCCAAATGGTTCTGAGTTGTTGAAGTAGGCTTTCACCTCTTCCTTGGACTTTCTCCCTTTCTTACCTGCGGGAAGATATCCACATAAGAGCTGATTCAGGGGATAACTCACTTTAGAGTAGTCTTTCACAAATCTCCTGTAATATCCACAGAATCCTAGGAAAGAACGCAGCGCAGTCACAGTTTCAGGCCTTGGCCACTTGGTGACAGCTTCAATTTTTGATGGGTCTGTGGCCACTCCATTCTGGGATATGATATGTCCAACATAGTTGACAGATGTGCGGCAAAACTGACACTTGTCAAGGGACAGTTTTAGGCCTTCACTTTTCAAGCGGTCCAACACCTTGAGCAACCTCTGCTCGTGTTCTTCCAGCGTCCTTCCAAACACGATTAAGTCGTCAAGGTAAACAAGAACTTCGAGTAGATTCATGTCTCCAACTGTCTGTTCCATGACACGTTGAAATGTTGCAGGTGCTCCGGACACACCCTGTGGCATCCTCTCAAATTGGTAAAATCCAACTGGACAGATAAATGCAGTCTTCTCTTTATCTGTGTCACCCATTGGGATTTGATAGTATCCGCTTCGGAGATCTAACACACTGAACCATTTGCTCCCACTCAAACATGTCAGAGCATCCTCCACACGTGGGACTGTGTACTGGTCGGGAACAGTGCGCTTGTTGAGGGTCCTGTAATCAACACACATGCGTATGGTGCCATTCTTTTTCCTCACCCTCACAATAGGAGATGCATAGGGGCTTCTCGACTCAGATATGATCCCAGAACTTTTCAAGTTATTTAGATGCTTCCTTACATCTTCAACATCAGCTGGAGCCAAGCGGCGAGATCTCTCCCTAAACGGTTTGTCTTCAGTAACTCTGATGGTGTGATGAGTACTCTTTGAACAACCCACATCAAACTCATGTGTTGAGAACACTTCTTTCCGTTCCATCATCTTTTCACATAACCTCTTCTTCCATCCCTCAGGCACTGGAGAATCTCCAAAGTTGAATGAAGAAGATGTCAACTTCTCAGATGAATCCTGCTCTCGTTTCAATGGAAACCCAGGAGCAATATCTACAGGAAACAGATGAGCAATAGGCATACCTCGTTTCAGAGTGATCTCCTTTGTCGAGACATTCCTGACAGTAAGGGTGATTCTTCTAGACGACACAACTGCAACCGTCTGGATTTCAGGCCTCACTAGTAGTTCTTCAGGGAACCGGGGTTCTTCAGGCCTCTCTACCAGAAGGGTTTGAGTAGAAGGTATCCCAGGAAACTTTGGAATTCCAGTAACTCTCGCCTGCCCACCAGGTGGCAGGGTGACAGGTTTTGTCTGTGCGAACCAGACCGTTCCTCTCTTCTCATCATCACCAGTTGAGCTTTCTCTCATCCTCTCATATGCCTCCTTGATAGCAGGATGAACTTGTAGTGTGCTAAGGAAACCTTCACCTTCCTTTTCTCTGCAAGCAGTCATAAGTCTCTTCACTACAGGCGTATTTGTGCCGACCAAATAGACACGTCACCTTTCATGGCCAGATCTGGACAAACCAACACAAGTGCTTCAATGGTCTCTGCTACGCCCACAACCGATCCCGAGAACTCAAGCTTGAGCGACAAATAGCCATCATATGGATACTGCTCAGAGCTAAGGCCCCATATCTCTAAGTTTCCTATAGGAATCAATGGCAAATGCGTCAGGTACCTGTCATAAAAGGATCTGTAAAGTAGAGTAATCTGAGAACCACTATCTAGTAAAGCTTTAGTATAGACACCTTCAATCTGTACAGAAACGACAGAACTTGGGCCAACTAAACCTGTCTTTCATGTCTTCATACTTGTGGCACTTTGTGGAACGTATCTTCACCGGGACGTCAGGCCGCTCCTTTACTGGGTCCCTCTGTAGTTTCCCATAGACCGTTTTTGTTTGATCAGGCGTGTGTTGACTTTCCTCAAGTTCTCTTCACCTTCACAGTTTCTCTTGAAATGGCCATCTTCTCCACATCTATAACAGAACACTCCAGGGTTTCTGTCGGCCTGTGTCTGTTCTTGTGATGGATTTACCCTTTTCTTTTTTCTTTTAAATGCAACATCTGACCTTTGTGTGTCAGAGTGAGCTGCTGTGACGTTAGCAGACATGAGACGTGTCATTTCCATTTTCAAACCTTTTAGCTCTTTTCTCATCACTTCTATCTCAGTATTAGCTTCTTCACAAACTGTAGCAACAGGAGCAACAGCTGATGACTTCACAACACTCTTCATTGTGTTCCTGTCTTGAATCATGTCCTCCTCCGCCCTTACTTCCTGCAGCAGCTCAGTAAAGGTTGGTGGATCACGCAGCTTATAGGTCATGCGAATACGAAGCGCAACCATGTCATGTGAGGATGCACCTCTCACTACTTGGCCAATGCGTGTGCGATTCATCTCTGACAGCTCAATGCCTCCTTTTCGATATACAGTGTGCAGCAATTTGTCAAGTCTCAACAGGTAAGCTGAAAGCTTCTCTCCTTCACTCTGGAATGTGTTTCTGAACCTTACCATGAGATCAGGTGCACTTTCGGTGGTACCGAATGCGGTTTCTAGAGCCTTCATGTATTCGATCGCTGTAGCATGGGGGTTTCCGGTCCTAAAGAACCTCACAATGTCAGCAGCAGGCCCTTTAAGACTTTCTATTATTCTCTGTTTTTTCACATTGTCGGTGCACTGCCATTCCTCTAGAAAATGGGTGGTTTGCTCAGCCCATGCGTCATACTCTTCCTCTCCACTAGGAGTGGGCTTCACACCTGAGAACATAAGTAGCTTACGGTAACTCTGAGTCTCAGATGGCACATTGTTGCATTTTTCTACCAGTGAACTTATGGCAGTAACCAGTTCAGCGTTGAGGTCAGCACCAGAGGGACTTACCAGGCCTTTAACATCAGCCACACTCTTCCCTTCATATCTCA